GTTTATAAGCTAATTTTACTAAACATAGCAGAATCAAAAGTTTATAAGTTAATTAATTAAAATAAAAATATTTGATAAAATGAGTTGATAAGTATAAAATGACATTTATTATTGCTTCAAATTCGCTACAACACAAATAGGTGTTAGTACCATTTGAAAAATGTTACTTAATTATGTATAAATGTTACTAGTTTATTTTAGCAACATATTATCAAATATTGTATATAGTCCATGTTGTTAAAGATTTTTAATAACACTTTTATATAATTAGGTAACATTTTTCAAATGTTAGCAAAATAGTATTTTTGTAACATTTTAATGATGTTGTCAATATTTTGTTAATTTTATAAAATGATAATTAATTTTAATTTAGATATATTACTATCAATTATTATATTTTTATGTCTCTTAAACTCATATGAGTTCTTTGAGAAAGATTAAAGACATTCTTAATTAGTTACCACTAATTATATATAAAACATCAAATTTCATTTATCTTAAGTATAACTATATAGTTATATATACTCTTTATGAGTCATTAATCTATTTGATGTGAGACTTTAATTATGGATAATAATTAGAGATAAGAAAAATATACTTTTTTTTACTCGATGTGAGACTTTGATTTTAGAAGCAATTATAGTAACATTTTTCAAAAAAAATGTTGCAAAATAACCTATGTAAAATATTTTTACTTGATATGAGACTTTGATTTTGAAAACAATTAGGAAGAATAATATTAAATAAAAAATGTTACTCTATATAATAACATTTTTTTAAAAAATGTTGCAAAATAATTTATTTGTTAACATTTTAACAAATGTAAAAAAAAAATGTTGCTAAAGAATTAAAATCTAGTAGTGAAAAAAATGACATTTATTTATTTGATTATATATATATATATTATATCAATATTTCAATATTTTTTTTATCATGTTACAAGTATTTTTAATCCATTAAATTAGAGACTAGTTTAGCTCATGTTATTTTGTCTAGTACTAACTTAAAGAGTTTTAATATGTGACTTAATTAAACACAAGATTTTTTATTAAACAAATCAAATATGAGGACAAAGATAATTGAAATATCTTAAAGTACTTAGTTAAAGCTAAATTAATTAATATTTTAGAATGTGAAAGAAGATAAATTTTATTTTTATGTAACTAAAAGTTATAATAAATAATTATTTTATAAACTAAAAATTATATAAAATCCCTGCATGAGTTTTAATTTATCCGTATACTTAAAACGGTAGCAATACCCTTAGAAATGTGACATACTGACATAGTAGAATTTGGCTTAATAAAATTGTATTAGTTGATGTACTTGAGATTCTATTTCAATTAACTTCTCGTGATTGGATAGGATTTACATTCATGACACTTGCAAATAAAGAAAAAAAAAACTTACTGCTCTCAGCAAACTCACTAATATCACAACTATGCACACAATGCTGTTAAGACGATAACTCGTTATGACTTGTATAGGATCACTAACATGTCATCAAAATAAATCTCTTTCGTGCTTCATTCCAAATTCCATGTGCGAGGATCTTAGGGATGAGCTCAATTATTATCATTTTTGTTCATTTTTATTCAAATAGATCAATCTTTTAATATATTATAGTATATATAATTTTAATATATTTATTATAGTAATTAAATTTAATATAATAATAATAATAATTATTATTATTATTCATTTTTATTCAGGTAGATCAATGTAATATAAGTTTTTTTTAAATAACTTGTAACCTATGCTTTTAAACTAAATAGATATTATAGTAAAAACTTTAGTTTGACCTATTTAATTTTAAATATATGTGATTACTTTGTAAGTTTATTGATTTCTGTATGTGAGCTGAGTAAATTACATTATTTTAAAAAAAATATTTTGTTTTTTGTTATAAACTAATTATATTGTTTATAATATAAATCTATTTAAATAAAGAATTTAATTGTTTCAGTAATAAAAAAATTCATACGTAAAAATTAAATTTAATATATAATTTAAATAAAATTAGATATATACATGCTAAATCAATTATTCATCTTTTGATATATTACTGGATTTATTTTGGTTATAATATTTTAATGTATTTTTTTTTATAGTCCAAATAATTGAAAATAATAGAAGTACAAGAGGTACTCCAACCCATTACAAAATACCACATGTGAAATAAAATTACCGTTCCGCAACAAGGAACCTAAGCTAGACAAAAAGACCCTAATCACAATCAACCCACAACATTGAAAGAAAATTGCAGAATCAGATTTCTCTAATAAATTCGTTTACCACCTGAATACATTTATCTAGGTGAGGCAAGCTGCTGGATTAATTAACATTATTTTATTATCTTTATATTTTAATTTATTGTAAAATAATTAAAATATTTAATTGAGTATCATTAAAAAAATAACCATTATAAAATTGAATTTAATTAATTTCATTATTTATTATAATACTTTTAGTCATTATATTGATAAAAACATTATTTTTAATTAAAATATATTTTAAAGTTTTAGTTAATTTATTATCATTCACTCACTTTATTAAGAAGTGATAAAATATAATCAATTTTTAATTAATTTAATAAAACTTTTTAATTAATTTAATAAAATAAAAACTTTAAAATATATATCTAAAATCTGTAACAATTTCTTAAATATAAATATTTAATTAATTTTAATATATACTAAATTTAATATCAGAAAATTTATTATGATTTTAATTATAATTTTTATTATCTTTTGATTTAATATTGAATATCTTTTAATTATAAAAATAGTAAATAAAATCTAAAATTTGTATGAATTTCTTTGATAAAAATATTTAATTAATATAAAATATAATAAATTTATTATCAAAATATTTATTATAATTTGAGTTATAAATTTTATAATATTTTGTTTTAATAATGTTTAAAGTTGGCATGATACCTAACTTTGTCTTTCTTATTGCTAAGATGAGATTACTTGTATCCTTTTAAATTGTTATACTTCCTGTGAAGAAAGTGTTAAGGATGTGCTCTTCACAGATTGGAAAATTAACGCCACTTCAAAACTAAGCATTTTGTGTTCGAATGTTCTCTAGTGTAATTTTATTACATGTTTTAGGCTGCCATGGAAAATCATAATATCGCATTGTTACATTAAGCCATACTTTTATTCCTCAAAATCATGATTAGCTTCATAAGCCATTTCATTAATTTTACTTTTATTCATTTTATTGTTATTTTTTTCTTTTGTTAGAAAAATAATATTAAATCCGTACTGCTTGCACCTTCACAATAGCTCATGCTTATTACTTTTTTTTCATTTACCTGGCAGGTTGAGAGGGCTTTATGTTTATATCCTCATTCATTTTGATCACTTTATTTAAATGCTGAGTGATAAAGTTGAATTTTATTTTAGGAAATGCATTTAGTCTAGCTGTGTACGTGGCAGTTATTGTTTAGTTGCAGTGGAGTGTAGTTATTGTTTAGTGATATTAGGTAGTTATTTTATACATGTGACAATTATTATTTAATATATAATGTAGAGGAAGTCAGAGAGGGGAGAAGAAGGGTAGTTTTTTTATCAGTTTCAGTGGAAGGAGGAGACACATTGTTAGGGGGAAACATTCTGTTTATCATTATGTGTTTGAACCTGGCTTATGAACCAGATTAAATTTCTAATATAATCCAGTATCTTGTTTTGTTTAAATTCGTGAGCCTAATAGGTTCAGAGGAGTTTCTGTCTAAAAACAAACTGTGATCACCCCTACTAGAAACAATCAGGCTAGCACTAAATAGCAATGTTGGACCAATCAGTTAACGCATACTTATAAGTGAAGAAAAGGAAATAAATTAACGAGATGAAATAAATTAATTGAACTTCTTCCGTGTGTCTCAACTTTTTTAGAAGTTTTTTTTTTGTGATTTTAACTCGTGGGAGATGTTGGTTTATTTTATTTTCTTAAGTCGTTTTATTTTTGTTCTCGTTTTGGTGTTTGATGAATAGTTTATTCCAAATGCTTAGTCATCGAACTGTTAGGCAAATTTTCTTACATAGCTTTTTATCTCATGTCACTACTTGCTCCTTACATGGTGTACAAATGGCAACTTCTTGTTTCTAGATTTGTTTCTAATTTCTGTGTTTTCTAGTTGTGCCTAGATGCTGGCTGGCGTAGAGATTTGTTTTTCTATTTCTTCGAGTTTTTGATTCATGGAATTTGGTTATGTTGGTTAGTGTAGGAGATTTCTGTTTCTGGAGGAAGGTTCCAAAACTTTTTATGGGAGATCCGTGCTCGTGCTTGTGATGTTGAGGATACGAAAAAGGGTATCAAGATCATAAAGGAGGATTGGGGAAAATTGCATGTACACATTGCTTCATACAACAACTTCCTTACTGCAGCAGGATTGGCTTCTTCAGCTGCAGGTTTTACCTGCCTTGGTAATACACATGTTAATCTTAAGTTCTTGTTTGAGTTTTTTTTCATTCAATAGTTATGACAGCAGAGTTGATTGCATTAGTGGCTACTGGCTAGGATTTGAGCAGTCTTCCATTATTTCCCTTGTTCTAATGAAAACCTCTTTCACATTCTATTTTATAAAATTATCAGTTTTCCATACTTCAAGCTTAATACAGGTGCATGAGTCTATCCATTAAATCTGGTTGTGATTGGTTGGCTGCTTTAGCAGGTTTAACATCTAAACCAAACAGGGCATTGAATTGGGTGACGCGTTAACTGATTGGTCCAATCTGGTTTTTGATATCTGGATTTGCCCAAAAGAACAGATTCCTTTCCCTGCACAGAAAAATAGTAATGAAGACAAAATCCCGTAGGTAACTTACCTGTGGAAATTTTCGTAGGTAAATTCCGTAGGTAAGTCATCCGTAGATAAAATTCATAGATAACGTTACCTATGGAAAATTTTCCGTAGATAACGTTATCTACGACTTTATTACCTACGGATTTTTTTCCGTAAATAATCCGTATGTAATTACCACTTACCTACGGATTTTGATGCTTATCTACGGATTTCTTCCGTAGATAATGTTGATTTTTCTTGTAGTGTAACAAGGGAATTTTCTATGGACTCATGCTTGCAAGGATCCAATTTCTCTAGATCAATGAGAAGTCGTTGTTGTGTAAACAAAAACACTTCTTTATTACTTTTTGCCTTTGCTGTTATTGGTTTTGTTTCACCATCTTTTGATTTACTGGGAGTAACAACATCTCCAGAAACCTTAGTATAGCAACCAGTTGAAAGTTTGGTATGTTGACTAACACTGCTAATAGCAAGTTGGTTACTTTCATTAAGAATACTTGTCTGTTTGGAAATAACTATTGGATCATAGGATGGGAAAACGCCTGAAAAGATGGAAGATAATCAGGAATCAACCTAAATAATACTAAATCAAAGTGGACACAAACAATTTTTTTAGTTCTCCGCAAGTAATCTTCTTTAGGGATAATCTTTTTTTTTAGTTCATAGACATGATACATACAATGTCCCAAAACTGATAATCAGTGACTAATTTGTATTCGCAGAGCATGATTTTCACTACTAAACATTATTTTAACATAAATAAGAATCAAATCTAAGGACCAGGTCAACCCCGTGTCTTCACATAAACTTTACAACTACTGGGTCAGAAGACTTGGTTAGAGAACCTATCAGAGACACTATTGGACAACAAAAGTGAACTCTTTTGAGATTCTAACTTTAGTTTGTCACATTATGCAAAACTAACACCTTCTATTAGACCCAAGAAATCACATTAGAAAAATGAAATCATACTCACAGCAGAAAAATGGCTTAGGTGTGGAGAATTTCAAGCTTTGTGTTGGATAGAAGAAAAGAAGGCCCAGCCACCCCATTGGATTAGAACCTGCAATAAGATCAATTTCACAGATGAATATGCTTTCGGTGATCAAGACAAAAGTTATTATATGTAACTTAACACAATCAAATTTCTTAGGTTCAACTTAAATTTGTTGTAACTTGAATTTAATATTAATGAGTCGTTGATGCAGATGAACAGAAAGACAAACAGAGCAAGTGTAAAGGATGTCTTTCTTTCCTATATGTATGGACTATTATGCGTGGTCCATATATAGCTAAAAAAGCAGCAACATTACTTTGAGGAAATGACTGAAAGGACCTGTGATCGAATTTGAAAAGAATCAAGGAAAAATAATCAAACTGATGTAACTTTGCTCCAAAAGTGGAAGCAGATGAATAAAAGAAACAAGAAAGAATGAAACATAGAAAGCCAATATGTTTCAAATTGGCTGCATTTAGTGCTACACCTGCACCTTCTTTGTTTGGAATCACAATTAGAGCCATCGATGAAGGATTCTCAGAAGCATATGTGTATGTGATTGCCATCCTTTTAATCTTTACATGCAAACCATTTGCCTTACGCAATATATTACCGAACTCATTGTCAATTTTATCTTTTTGGCATCCCTCCAAAAACTCATTAACAGATTTCCCCCTGCTTTGCTGGATAGGAACAATGCTTTTGCTATTGAGCAATTCATCCTCTGACTCACGGTAACCACGAGATCTATGAGCCTGTTTGACAATAATTAGATCATGGTCCATAGAATTCAAGATAACTTATCAAAATGACATTTGCTGGAAGTTTAAATACTATTTCCACTTATAATTTCATGAATTTTATCTTATATTCTATAATTAAAAATACTTCATTTTAAATCCTATATTATTTTTAACCTTGTAATTTTATAAACTTTACATTTTAATTCGTATAACAATAAATATTGATACCTATATAACCAAAAATAAAACGAGTTTAATTATAAAATTTTAAAAATAAAATTTATGAAATTATAGGATCAAACTAATATTTAAATAAAAACAAATAGCAGAACCATATAGTTAAAAAAACTTAATGAACTTGCTTAGATATATGTTTAGAAGTACTTTTGAAAATTCTTTTATCAAAGAATATTTTAGTATTTTTAACAGAGAAATTCTAAAAAATCTTGTAAATTTTAACCAAACTATTTTTGTTAGAAAAATTCACAAAAAAGTGTTTTAACTTGTATCTAAAGAAAATCTAATTAAAAAATGAGGTGATATGATAACCTGTTTGAGGAATGGTGGAGGCTACAAAACACTTTCACGAATGGGATCATGGTACTTGTTGGAGTAAACTGAGGGTGATAAGGATTTATTGGGAGATTTGGAAGGACAATATCGAAAGAGCAAGTAGAGGGTGAGAGTGATTTGGAAGGACAATACCAATACCAATGTCTCCGTTTGTTACAAACGTAGCAAGTGTCTCGTTGCATTCGTTCCACAAGATGAGGAGAGCAGCTAGTGGGGATTTCTGGGGTCCTTGGGAGACACTGAACTTGAGGCATCTTTAATCTGGTTCAAACAATTGCTTGGTTGGAGAGTGGGCTTTTTGTTGAGATGGAAAGAATGGATATGAGTTTATATAGACACGATTGTTTTTATTGGTTGAGAGACTTTTTGGGTTGTGAGACCTTTTGGGTTGTATCTAAAAACAAAATCATGAGAGTTGAGTATAAAGTAAACAATATCTTACCAATGTGAAAACATGTATCAGTGTAACCATGATACATAACAGTTTTGAGTGTCCCAAGAGCCGAATCTGATTGTAACCAATCCGGTTTGGGTCTTCCAGAACAGCTGAAGAGACCTTTTGTCTTTCTCAAAGTCTCTTTTCTTCCCTCTCTTCCGTGATTTGTGTTTGACCAATGAAACAACAGAAGTGTTTGTCAAACTTCTGCGTGCCTCATTCATGCTTCAGTTTGGTGCACAATGATTGGCATTTGACTAGATATTTGAATTAGAATTGGACCCTCCAGAGTTGTTTTTTATATTATTACTACCACAGGATTCTTTTAAATTTATTAACAATTTATATATATATATATATATATTTTTAAATTATTCTTAATATTTTTTAAGCTTTGGTACACAATATCTCAAATTATATCAACATTTGACATTGTGCATGCGTCTTCCATCAAGCCTTTTGGGCAGGTTCATAAATTGATATCATGGTCTCCACCAAGTGATGGCTACATCAAGATCAACTCCGATAGTAGCTCGACGGGAAATCTTGGATTATCTGGCTTCGGTGGCATTGTCTGTGACTCAACTAGACAATACCTTTTTGTTATTCTGGATATTGTGGCATGACAACAATCATGAATGCTGCTGAATTGCAAGGGATTTATATAATGGGCTGACTAACTTGAAATAAAGGTTATGGGAGAGTCATCTGTGAGACAAATTTTTAAGAACCTATTTTTGTGTATGCTCATCCATAGATACAGAGTGACAACTCTCTTTTTAGCATATTTTAAGAGAAAGAAATTAGTGCATGGATTAGATGACGAAGTATGAAGCATCCAATGATATATCTATATTTGTTTGGAACCGTTGCTCCTTTGGTCTTTCTCAATTATTGATGGCAAATTATTTTTATTAGGAATTAGTGTCTGTGTGTGTCTTTTGTTATACTTTTCTAAAAGATAAAACAAATTTAATTATTTTTTTTCACTTAATTATTTTTCACTTAATTAATTAATATTTCAAAGATAAAAACATTTATGTATTTATTTAGATCTTATTTGGTGGTTCAAATAAAATAGAATAATTATTTTATTTTACTATAATTTTGTTATTTTGTGTTCCAACAAAATATGGTTATGTTTTCTTATATTGTCTAAGTGTATTTCCTATGGCAAAAATCGAATTAAGCAATAAAATAGTATAAATTTCCTTCTCTCTTCTTGCTATTAACATTTTCTCATATAATATACCATATTATATTATACAAAATAATATATATATATATATAATTTATAAGACTTTTGTTTTCGGATAATCTATTATCTCATCTTCTAGTAGCTTTGAAATTATTTTTTCAATTTAATAATTATAAGTTTAATTATTATTAATTATTTAATTTATTTTTAAATTTAATTTTAAAGTTTTTTATGAATCAGGTGCAGTTACATGTTTTAAAATTTTAATTTAGTTTATTTAATAAAAAAAGTAGTAAAACCCCAAACCACCGTGTAACACTCATACGACTCTTTCTAATCCCTAGCTTGTGTTCTCTTGCGCGTCCCCAGCCCTAACGCTGCACATTGTCGCCACTGTTGTCGAAGACGCTGTCGCCATTGGCATCACGGGTAATGTAACGTTGCTCGAGGAGGTTAATGTTGTTGTCGTTTTTGTTGTGTGGTGTTTGGGTTATGATGGTATTTGGGTTAATGCGTGAGAATGATGGCGTAATTTGCCACAAATGCCGTCGAATTTATTTTCTTATGTGCCTTGAGAATAATGCGTGCCTGTTAGAATGATATGATTAGAATAGTATAAGTGGGTATTCCGGGTGGTTGAGAGAGGGAGAGAACATAGAAGAAGGGTATTATGTTACTACTTTGTTCTGCAGTTAGTGTTGTTTGGTGTTCTACTAGTTTAACTAATTTGTGTAGAGTTATGATGGCCATGACCATTACTCATTGGGTACGTTATTGTTGTTCAAGTTGCAATTGGGTACCTATGTCATAAGTAGGTTGAATTAACCGTATCTAATCATAATCTCAGAATAGGTCTGAGTTGGAGCTAACCTTGTGCTTGTGAGCTACTTAGAGCTTCTATTCCATAAAGCGAGGGATTGGATTTAAGGGGCATGATAGGCAAGGATGAGCACTTTCCAACATGTTCTCCTTTGAGTCCATAGTAAAGGCCATAGTTACGAAGAGATGTTTGGTTAAACTATTTCAGCAGCAGCAAATGAAAGTTGTGTCTGATGAGGGTGTGATGGAAGACCTATATTCATTTGCGGGGAGAGGAGAAACCTAACCAGCTATTTTGATGGTTGATGATGTTATTGGTATCCCCATTTTCGATAGGCTTCATCTTGAAGACTCGGTATCACTAGAGTACTTAACTTCACTATTGTAGCCAAAGTTAAGGTAAGACAACTCAATCATTGGAAAACAGATCAACTATCAAGTAATCATGCCATATCTTCAAGACTACACCCTAGCCTTTCCTCGCCTTAGTACCCATATTTGTTTTGTTAAATACATACTTTTTTTTCAGTTGAAGAACCGAATAGGCCAAATCTAAATACTATCCATATGTATAAATAAATCCAGCTAGTAGTTTTGTGTATAATAAATAGGTGTGCAGGGACAGATTTGTAGAGGGAACAAAGCAAGTTCCTTTAAACTAAATGAAGAGTGTGTTCCAGCAAGCAATGCAATGCTAGGACTACTTCCCGCCATGCATTGGGATCCATGCATGAGAAAGACATTCCCTTTTGCTTTATTCTACACTCCCCTGTTTCACCTCACTTTCCTTTTTCTCTTTTTATTTTTCTTTATGAGATTATTCACAATATTACTTTGCACAGTTTTGTACTTTGTCTCTAAGGTACTCTATCATCAAGTGTTAGGGTTGTTGTCTTGGTTTAATTTAATAACGTTAGGCATGTCATAACTGATGTTGACAAAGTCTTCAAATTAATTTAGATTATCTTAAAATGCTTATGCGGGTTAGGGAAAGGGGAATTTCTTGGGAATGAAAAACAATCTATTTTTTTCTATTTGGAATACAATTTTCATATAGCACACTATTACAAGAAATAGAAGAATCACATGAGAACAATGTTCTCGTGCTCTTCTGCATACTTTCTTCAATTTGCATCATCACTGTGGACCTGAAGCATTGGTATCCAATGAATTTAGTTGGCTTAATTCAATGTTGTAATTTAAATCGGATTAATGTTGAGTTTTGACTAGGTGGTGGAGGATTATTGTTTAAGGGTTTCTATTATTACATATGAAGTGTGAAATTGGATTTGGATTTTGATTTTGATTTTGATTTTGATATGATGGGTTTTGAATTTTCAGAGACTGGTCGGAGCTGCTAAAGAATGCTTCAGATACGGTGATGTGAACTTGCTTGACAGTTTTCTGGAAAAAGGTACAAGGATACAAGTCTAGTTTTGCATTAAATTATTGAATCAATGGTTTGCTTGATCCAACTTGCTGGCAAACGAGAAATGGACAACCATAAACAAACAAATAAGGAGTTATTATGTCATCCTGATGGCATTATATTTAATAGAATTAGCTAATATAAAAAACTAAATATGACATAATAATGAGTAAATAAAGTGTACCAACTCAAAACAAATAACATTTGAATTATAGAATAAGAAATATTTTTTTCTTTTGAGAAAATTATTACTTAAATATTAAATGAAATCTTGTTAGGGACTTGATTATAAATAAAAGAAAAATTGAGAGTCAATTGATATAATTAATCACAAGTATTTATTGTTGTACGGTCACTAATTATACTTTAGTTGGATCGATAAAAAATTCTATGAATGACATGCTGACTTGAGGTAGAAGACAAAATATTAATTCTTGTCCTAAGTTATGCTATTTAAATTCGAGCATCTTCTAGTTTAAAATAAATAACAAAAGAATCAGTTTTACTTATTTAAAGTATATATTATCATGTTTACTAGTCTCATTCCTTTTTCCCCTTCACATGCAGGAACTATTCATTCGTACTAGAGAGAATCCATTCTTTGTGGACTTCTAAGATCTTTGGTCAGATTCCTTTACAACTAAACTATAATGAGTTGAAAGATTACTAATCCTGTAAGGAACTTAAATCACATTCTTCAAAGTAAACCCACCCCTATGTCTGAAAATAGAATATTGAGTACAGTTGCAGCTTACTAATGAACTTAAATCACATTATTCTTTTGCATGCCATTTGTGGATTTTACTATTTCTTGCATTAATAGGCCTTTTCAAATATTCACTTGATCTCATTTTACTATTTTTTTTTTATCTTTTTAGATTAATTTGATTTCCCAACTAGATGAGATTAATTATGTTTAAAGATTACTTACTATTTTAAATTAAATTTAGAATATGGTGGGTATTATGCTATTTAAGTTCTGTTTTATGTATGTTATTGTAAATATTTTATAAATTCTTGTCCTAAGTTTTGCTATTTAAGTTCTGTTTTATATATGTTAGTATAAATATTATATAAATTCTGTTTTATACACCCTTAAATTATTGTTAACCATGTTTAAATATACAGAAGATGAATTCTTTTACTTTGAATTGTGCTTGGATGTACGATAGGTGTTATCTTGGTAGAAAAGGATTGAAACCATCTTTTGTATTAGGGGTTGATGAGTTTATAAACAAAGCTCACCAATACAAATACTATAAAGTTGATGGGGGGATTAGATGTCCATGTCTCAAATGCAATTGTGCAAAGATTTTGAAGGATGAAAATGTGAAGGTTCACCTTTACAAACCAGGGTTCAAACCTGGTTATTTTGTTTGGACTGATCACGGCGAAGAGATGCCACATATTGATGTACATGTTGAATATAATTGTATGGGTGTTTCAGACTGTGGTGTAGATGTGGCTCGAGGAGAGCAATTTATGTTTATGCAAGAGATGGTGTTTGATGCTCTCAAGCAACATGACTCGCTTGAAGCACCAAAGTTTGACAACATGGAAAATCCTCCAAATAAAGAAACTAAAGATTCTATAATCCGTTGACAAAATCAAATAAGTTATTGTTTGAAGGGGCTAAAGACTCTAAACTATCCATATGCGTAAGGCAAGTCCAATTGGAATGTTCCTAATCAATGTCTAGAGTTTATTATATAGATGCTTTTGGAAGTAACACCCATGAAAGGGAGTTTGCCAAAAAGTTATTATGATGCTAAGAGATTAGCAGCGAAGCTGGAATTTGAAGCTAAGAGGATTGATTATTGTGTGGATGGCTGTATGTTTTTTTATGACAACGAATATGGAAAAATGATGGAGCATTAGTTGAATGCAAATTTTTTCATAAGCTGAGGTATTATGAATCTAGCACCGGAACAAGTAACAAAAAAAAGTTCCAATTAAGGCAATGTTTTATGTATCAATCGTAGACCGAAAGATATTTTGTATTTCTAATATTCTTCGAATGATTGTGTTTGCATATCCATCCTCTTAGATAAGCTAGTCACTGAGAAATTGGTTGCAGGTGTAGTGTAGGTTCCCTTCAAATCAATGGCTGTTTCGTATGTTCACATGCTTCAATCTGCCAAGGGTTTCCACAAGCGTAACCTCTCCTATTCCAATAGCAGTTACAAGGGGAGGAGGAGCCACTGCGTTGTTTTTTCTTCTATGCATACATCAAACCCTAAGGTACTTCCATCTAAATTAACTAAAAGCAAAGTTAGTGGTAAAACTCATTATAAATATAACCCAAAGATTACTTAAACAAGTTTCAAACTCTTAATCAATTTTGGACCCAAAACTGATTCCTCAATGTGAAACCAAAGATGTTAATATTTACCTAAGATTATGCCAGCTAGTATTTTAATGTGATACTGGATGCTCCTACTTGAATCTAAACACGCACATAATTGAGGCTGTCATGTGATAGGGAATCCACTGGTAAATTTTTCTTCTTTGAATAAATAAGTATTTTTAGCCTTAATCACACATTTTGTCATTCATGTTTTGCAATTTTTCAAAAATTTCCACCTAAATATTGAATTTTTGTTTACATTTTTATTGATTGTTAACGTGACACATTGATTGCTGATGTGATATATTGATTGTTGATGTAACATATTGTGCCATGTCACATCAATCCTTGTCAGTTACTTAATGTATCACATCAACAATCATTTAATGATGTTGGATGATAAACTAACAAGGTCGTAAAATGTGAAATTTTAATAATTGTGTAGCAAAATGTGCAAATTCTTAAATTGTGTAGCAAAATTCATGAAATCATGAAATGAGTGGCAAAATGTGTAATTTAGCTTTACATTTATTCACCAATTACCTTTTTTGCCTGTGGGTTTCTTTAAAGTTTTAACAATTTTTTAGTTGTTTAGGTTTCTATCTAATGTTGCACTTTACATTAAATTGTGGATGCAAGTTTATATTATATTTCTGGGTTTTTGTTGTGTAGCAATTCAGTTCCATGGATGAAGTCCGCAGATTTTTCACATTTTAATGCGGAATGCAAATATGTTGTTCTAACAAAGAACATCCATCCTTTGTGTGTGTTGTGAAATTTCTTAGCATTTTTTGTTTTTCATATATTTATTCTTGTTATATTTTTCATTTCATAGGATCAATCCTTGTTTTTACATTTAAGTGTTAAACTTTTGTTAGGTAGACTCATTACTGGACAGTGTAAAATGGGATAACAAAGGTTTGGCCGTGGCAATAGCTCAGAATGTTGACACAGGGGCCATATTAATGCAAGGTTTTGCAAATAGAGAAGCAGTGGCTACAACCCTATCTTCTCGAAAGGCCACATTCTATAGCCGATCACGATCTGCATTGTGGACCAAAGGAGAGACCTCTAATAATTTTATCAATGTTCATGATGTCTTTATTGATTGTGATCGTGATTCTGTTAGCACTTGCCTCTTTTCTCGTTGAATTATTTATCTTTGCTTTTGGTATGATTAGGTAGTTAATGCTTTTTACCCCTGTTAACTACTTTTCAGATAATATACCTTGGGAAACCTGACGGGCCTACCTGTCACACGGGGGCAGAAACATGCTATTATACATCAGTTTTTGACTTGTTAAAACAGCAAGAGGTAAGTTCAACCAATTAAAACAAACATGTTATTGCCTTGTTTTCCTGTAGAGAAAGTTTGGCAATATTCAAATTGGCTCGGGTTATCTGTTACAGGATGAAGGAAATAAATTAGCATTAACCTCTTTGTATGGGTTAGAGTCAACAATCTCCCAACGTAAAACAGAGTTAGCAGAAACAGAAAATGAAAAGCCTTCGTGGACAAAGCGATTATTGCTTAATGATAAGTTGCTATGCTCTAAAATCAGGTCGAGTATGTCTTGTTATGTTATTCTGTAGTTTGAATTTAACGGGGAAAAATATCCGTTTTCATCCCAAACTACCAATTGTCTGTTTAGATGCATTTTACTTAAAACACGCCTCTGTTGTAATTCACTTTGCTTGAAGGAAAAATACGGATTAAAGGATTGTCTCTCTTTGATATCAGATTGTAACTGTATCTTTCATCTTGTAGAGAAGAGGCAAACGAGTTGTGTCAAACACTAGAGAATAATGAGGACAAGTCACGTACTGCATCAGAGATGGCTGATGTACTCTATCATGCCATGGTTCTGTTGGCAAAGAAAGATGTCAAAATTGAAGATGTTTTGCAGGTTCTTCGGCTGAGATTTTCCCAATCTGGCATTGAGGAGAAGAGAAGTCGTGTATCCCAAAAATCAATGGATGATTGAATGTTATGTTAAGTCTATATCTCAAACAATATAGTCGGATGTACCATGCGTGTTCTTATCCATGTGACTATGCTGAGCAGTGCAACTTTGTTAAATAGCATAAATAATGTCAAGAACACCATGTAACTGTTATCCTCACATTTTTGTAGAGATCAGTTTCACCTTTTTAAAGGTTTAGTTAATTTTATTGCGTGCATGCTTATATGTAGCAAACTGCAAGACTGTACCAAGCTCTTATTTTTGGCTTAGTTATAAATTCCTAAGTATCTATATCTTTTAAAGTTGAGTAGAATTGATGTTGAACTATTAAATGCAATTGAGAATGAGATACATTTTTAGTATGAACCATGTATCTAATACAATGTGTGTATGGTGAGAGGATTTGAATTTAAAGACGAAACAAACAAATCTCAAGTTGGATTGTTGAAATTTGCGTGTTAGTTTTGTGGCCATCAATTCAATGATTTATGTCTCACTCTTATTTCTATTGTTTACAAGTCAAAAATATATTCGATGAATGATGATTAGAAGCAATGTTGTATCTATACTAATAATAAAAGGGATTTTTTCATTTAGTATCTACTATTTTTTTCATTTTATTTTTAATAATTATATATATTTTTTATTAACTGAACAAATTATCAGGGTATATTTATATTTTATCTTATTTTTAATATAGGCATGTATTGCATTTTTCTCACTAATATATAAAGCATATTCTAAGCAAAAAAGAAAAAAGGGTGAACTTTTGTAGTTGTGTTCACCTCTGAAATGCAAGGTACTTTATTTTTAACATAGTTGAAATGACAAGTAATATACTTAATATACTTAATTAAGCTAGAGGTGCTAGAAAAGAAGAAGCAGGTGCGATTTTGCACACCCATTTTATTATCTCCTATACATTTTGTGGCACATGCCAAGAAGTCCTCAATGTCTCGAATATGACAATTAATCATACAGAGATAACATAATTTGATTGGGAACTCGTAAATGTTAGAGATTATAGGAAGGAGATTGGGAAAGAGTTTCCATCACATGATTGTAAAATTGCAATGAGTTTCCTCTCAAATGTGAAAAGCTAGGACTTCGGGCGAGCATAATAACATATATGAATCTAATTGTAACCTCTATCTATTTGGCATAATTTTATAATATGATTTTTTTCTTTTCCGATTTTTTTTTCTTTCTTTGATTGTGTTGATGTCTGGTATTTTCTTTTGCAATTATCGTGATTTTTAGATTTGATTGTACATTTATTTATATCTATTATTTTTTGTATCTTTCTCAATTGCTTGAGTTTACCTTTGTGAAGATTGTTCAAGGGGAAGCGAATATTGTTCAAGGGAGAGTGACAATTGTTCTTTCGAGATGCATTTATGATGCCATGACGGTGGATTTTGGTCACAGGTTAGCCTAACAATGGCGGTGGTAACCTATGGAAATGATGGTAGTGTCACCACTACTATGATGAAGGTTGCATGATTTGGTTTTGAGAGAAGGTTTTCAAGGACAAACTAGGAAATTGAAGAAAAATAAGATCAAAAGAAAAAGAAGAAATACTGTTTTTAACCATTGATTTAAAAATACTACATCTAACGGTGATTGGGAGACTCATTCTAACCTTTGTCTTATTCATATACTTAACTTTCTTTCTTCTTATTTTCATCAATACCAAACAATTTATGATTTTTATCCCTTTTCATTATTTTCTCTTTATCTTTTTCTTTTCTTTCCAAGTTTGGGGGTGCATACTATGATTCCTTATTTACTTAAATTTTTTTATTTCAATGCTCTTGTTGGTTATATTTAAAGGTGAATTTACGTAAGACATTATTCGTTCCTTTTCAAGATACAAAGAGGTAATTAACTGAAGCCTAAACATTTAAGTTAGTACCTATATGTTTGATTTTTAATTTGATTCTTTACATCGATTAGATCAACAACCAAATGGGATATCAATCACTAATAACATGTGTTCTTACCGGAGATCTGCTGTGGAGATGATCTGCCGAGTAAGATTGGTGAGCCTCCTTTGTTGGTACGTTGGTGTTCCAAGATGGGGGTGGTACCTGCAAAAGAGACTTCGATGCTAAAGTTAGGGTTTGTATGAGTATATGTTTCGTATAAGTAATGCATGTACCTTAGTGTAAATTAGGGTTGCGTTGGGCCTTGGGCTTGAGATCAGTTGTGATCTAATTAGATAGCGGATCTCGTCTGGACCGAGATCTCCTGAGATCAGTTATGATCTGGTTAAGTGACGAGCTGACGTCACATAGCGCGTATCCGAGGTCGCCACGCGTTGTGATGCCGAGCCGGGAGCTCGACTTTGCAGTACGGATAGTACACTAGCCCCCCGAGCTCAGAAGACAGTGGGTCGAGGAGTTAAGACCGAGCTCGTCAAGTGGCTGTGACCCTTTGCGTACGCCTGCTTGTTAAGATGTCGTGTGTCATAACTGGTCATTTCCGAAAACGTGCAAGTGGCGCGTTAACGGGAGTGACGGTTATGTAATGATGGTTTGCATTTGTCATAATGGTTCTCAATTAATGTGCCGTCAGACGTGCCCTTAGGCTGACACGTGCCGTGACCGTTTTGAATTTGGGAAAAACCATTTTTCTCTCCCTCGCGCCTCTTCCCTTTTCACTTTACTCATTTTCGCTCTTTCAACTTTTTGCGCACGCTGTTTCTCTCGTTTCTGCTTATCCTCCGTCTCCATTTTCTCCGTTTCCACCGTCGTTTCCGGTAACCCAGTCATTGTTAGGGTTGTTTTCTGAGGAAGAGTGCCAGGTACTTCCTTTCTACAGTTTTCTTTTTCCTTCTTTCCCAATCTTCTTCGAGTCTTTCTTGTTTTCTCCATGGCTGGAGGGAGTGGTGCTGGTTCCTCCGCACCTGCCAAGGGTAAAGGCAAGGCGCGGGGCAAGGCGACGGCTACCGGAACGGCCGCCGACGGGAAAAGAAGGAGGTGGAGCCGCCAACGGACCTCATTCCAGGCATTCTTGGG